ATTTGTAAGCTTAACTGCCTTTTGCATTTGGGTGAATCCTTGTAGGTCTTCCTCAGCCAAAGATTCAAACAGTGAGGCCTCAAGGAAAAACAGTGCTAAAGAAGCTGAAAATTCTAGTAGTCGGTTCATTGCCAAGACCAGCTTCTCCTGAGCTCAGACTGAGTAAACCGGCACTGTCTTAATATCGCAACTCAGGGGACTCCCTCGAGAACAAGACAAGTGTCCCGCACTGAATACAGCTATTTCGAGAAAGGGGGGATCGCTGAAAACTTTGGAAGGATTCAGAGGGGACATGAAATCAAATCTCGCCAAAGCGGCTTGTTATAAGACGCTTTATGAATCGCAAATTCATGATCAAATCTTGCCAAAACGTCAGAAAAAATGACTTCTTTGTTAGACTAAAAACAATCATAATGATTCTAGTTGCGACAAAAAGCATAGCATACAGCACCCGGAAAAGTTAGTAGCTCAGCCACTTGAGTGTAGTATACGGCTGACCGACCAACCTCTTTTGGGAATAATTTTAACCACAAATGGCTCTTGTGGTCTTGGCAATGAATTCCCAAACGAATGAAGTCCCAGAAAGGTTTTTCTCTGTTCTCTTGCGTACTCGCTCAGAGTGAGATTCCGTGGATACAGTCTTTTGATAAGTTTCGTTGCGTGCCTCGTAACCTGCGATCAGGGGTTTTCTTTTCTTTTTTCAAAACAAAAAGGAAGAAGGATACCCTGCGAGCAGTGGTTTCTCCAGGCCGGACGCTACGTCCGTCTTGGAGAAACCACTGCTCGCAGGGTAGACGAAGGATAGCCTGATCGCAGGATACGTGCCTCCTGTCTTTAATTGCCTACACGCTTAACGTGGGTACGGTTTTGGTTTGCGGGCAGCGCAATCATTGTTTTCGCTCCGAGCTTTCCTGTACTCCCAAGCTGGTCTCGCCCGTCATTTGCGGGCGGGCCTCGTACTGAGTTCCCCGTCAACTCTCTTGCAGCTCACCCTGCCTGTAATTTCAGCCCTGAAGTCCTTTCTTGATTTTACCTTTTCGCGTTAAAAGAAAAGTCCACTTTTTTATAATAGATCTTTCAAAAGTGCGACGTTCAGTTCTGAAAACACATTTATTCATTCCTACAGGCATTGTCCAAACTCGCTTTCAAACCATGCAGCTCCCTTAGTAACAAGAAAACGTTCTGAATCACTAATTTCGATGAGTCTCTTCTTGTTGTTGCGCATGTGCATTATGTTAAAGGATGGTTGCCCTGCATCACGTTCGGTCGTGCTTCGAGTCAGTATAGGCGTACATTCCCTTTATAATGTTTCTTTACCCAGAACAAAAACCTCCCCTGCAAGTGTTTCACAGGTCATAATAAGAGAGAGTGTAGTGGAATGTGGTAAACCAATCCATTTTTAATTTGTGGCCCATTATCGCTAATCCGAGATAAGAAAGAGTTGAAGAATTTCTTTATTTAACGTATTTCTTTGTGAAAGATGCTAAAACGTTTTTTTTTTTCCCTTCGGGTTTATCGGGCCTATAGGGCTGGACAAATCATTAAATCATTAGCCTACATTCCATGGTGACAAGCAACAGTAACCATGAAGCATAACTAAAAAGCTTTGGCATCTGAAATAAAAGAAGTAACATTAGTTTCGACAGATCTACCAAGTTTATCTAGATCTGTAAAATCTGAGGATTAAAATGAAAAACCTTACAAATAACAACATTCTGCTGGTCGGGGTATGCACTATATGTTGGGTATTTTATTGCATAGATTACTATCCCTATATCAGTGAGATGACATAGACATAAATATGACCTCAATTGCGTAATATGTGGGTAACAGTTCAATGCCAACCAGTCTAAAAATTTATCACTAGTTCGATCAGTTTCCCAAGATTGGTAATGCATTGTTTGTTAATTAAATTCAGAAAGTGCTTGAAAGTTTTGCTTACTTTTTATTAGTTGATTACTAAAACGATGCGGGACATGAAAGACTCATAAAACCTCTATGACTCTTGTATCTTAAGACGAAGTAACGACAGAATCCATCAAATAACAAAAAGAAATCTTGAGTATTTGACACTTGATTGGAGCTTACGCAGTAAAGCATGTCTTAAAATCAGCCTTGGTGCTGAGGGGAAGAGGGCTGGGAGAGGCAAAATTTCCAACCTCCTCTGGCTAAGATCATGATATAAGGCATGAATGGAAGCTAGCACTAAATACAATTTTACAATAACTGAGCGAATCCTCGCGCGATGATTGGTCGAGAGCTATGGTCTACGAGAGTATAGCCCATGGAAATGACGTAACATGTCACGCAGTGCCGGTTGTTTTGCTTTTGGTTTTTCGTAAAAATAAATGTTATTGTAAAAAACAAATTCGACCACAATTTTCCATGGTCTACACTCTTATAGACCATAGAAATGACGCCATAAAATGTTCAAAACTTTACAGTGAAACCACTCGCCTACGACTCAGTGGTTCCACTTGAGTTTTGAACATTCTATGACGTCATTTTTATGGTCTATAGGAGTGTAGATCATGGAAAATTTTGGTCGATTTGTTAATTTCCTATGTATCATTTGCTCTCTATAAATTCCGCTATTATTTTGCGTCATGATAACGAAGTCACAATATACAAGCGTGCACGTGCCAGACCGATGAGTATTCATAAACAGTGTGGTGACGTAACATCATGTTCTATAGCAACGTCAAAACTTAATTGTTTATTTTACAACCCGATATAAATGCATAGTGGCCAGTTCCAATTCAATGCTTTGTCAATGACATGAAGTATCAACTTCGAAGGTTTAATAAGACAAATAGTTCAACGCACACATTTGAAGAATCCATGGAGTTTTTGAATGTTGCCTTCTTTGCACTGTCCTTTTGGTTGGTCGTCATCCGTAGCGTGTGTTCAGGTACGTTACTGTTTCTCTTACTTATTTGCATCACAGAATGGAACATTGCAGCCATTGCATTGTCTCAATACAGAGAAAATTAGTTTAGTGCAACCTTGTAGATGCTATCTTCAGACGGGAGAAGTGGATTTTCATTCTATGCATTTCTTGAGAGGCCTCAAGAGTAGAACTTCTTTATAATTACCGTGACATTTTAAGTGGAATCTAAGACCATAAGGCCCATGCATATGACATCTACTAAAGGTTCTACATATCCAGTAGAGCATAAAATAGTAAGTGGAAGGAAAGAATATCATGCCTAACAACTGTCTCTGTTCCAATTCATGAGTGTGCAATATAATAAGACGTATCACTAGCACTGTGCTAATTTAAGCGTGCATTACTTACAATAATGCTAACACAAAAGGGACATGATTGGACAATATTTTCTATAACTGATTTAAAAATACAATCCGTTGAAAAAGTCTACCCGTCTTGAGAATCCTTTCTCTTTCAATTCGAGAAAAAACCCTGAGATAAGAACTTTACGAGCACCTTAGGGTAGGGCACCTTGTGTGCATTTCAGCCGGCCTTTTGGATTTATTTTTGTTCTGTTTTGTTGGCTTAGAAAAAGACTTCTTTTGCTTTTAATTTTTCTTTATCTTTGTTAAAATCTAACCCTTAGAAATTTGGACGACACATTGTAGTCACATACATCGAATTTTGCCATAAAATTTCCGTTATTTATTACTTTTTCCTAATAAATAGGATAAGGTCAATCTAAATGATTTGTTCGAGTATAGAGGGTAAAATTCATGGTCTTTCAAGTGACTTTGGAAAGCAATTAAAAAAACATTTTGGAGCAACCGGCTGATGACAAGGGATTATGTTTTTGTGGTAGATAAAATTACAAACCGGTTTTTTGTTGTTTTACATAATGTATTGTTATTTTAGCTGATTAGATGGATTTGTTTTGTGTTTGTTAAATAATTGGATTAGAAAGTTTAAAAGTACGGTAAAGACTCTCAAACAGAAATGACATTCTTTTAACAAACCATATCGTTTTTTAATTAATTCATCATACAGCAATGTTACTGTTAATCTCCTTTGCAGCCGTTATTAGGGTCGTCACGCTGTGGCGCGTTGCGTGACGACCCTAATAACGGCTGCAAAGGAAACTGTGAGCCAAAATGAAATAGAACAACAAACACCCCCATCCTCTCGAAACAAGGATGGAGCTGCGCGAAGGTCAAAACGCACCATTTCCCAATCCTTCCTTCTTTTTCCGGAGAGCATTTATTTTTACATTAAGTGATCACGTGACTTATCTCATAGGATCTCGCTTGTCGACTGGTTAGGGAACAGATATCGCCAATAATTATTTAAAATTCTGGGTATTTTTTCGATAAATTCGATGCATTATTTACAATTACAATTCCTTTTTATTTCATTTAGCGGCTTCCTGTAAAGATAACGATGTGAATTGCCATCGGTGGATAAATTTCTGTGCAAGTTACCCTAATATAAGAAAGCAGTGTCCATTAACGTGTAAACGATGTGGTAAGTATCATGTTTTTTGTTCTGTAAACAGGCCAACCTAACTGTAGATGAAAAGGACTTGTTCCTCGCAGTGAAGCTCACTGAAATCAACAACCTAAGCTGTTGAAACGGAACCTGAAAAAAAGCACGCTCGAGAGGTTTAAAAAACCGCCAATATGAACTAGTTAGCCTACGTACAGCTACCTCCTCCCCTCAAACATAACACACAACAAATAAAACAAAAAATAATACAAAATACAACAGAAAAAGGGGTGGCCGAGGTCAACTTAACCAACCGCTAACTTATGACTATAACTTACGCCTTATGAGTTCAGGCTATAGTGTAGTGTGCTTGGGGTATCATCTTTTTTCTAAATCTAAGCAGTGTAAGACAAAGCCTACTGCTTTAGGTGCTAAGAGAGACTTTGCCTATCGAGGGGGAAAAACTATACTCGAGCACTACAAATGCAAGTAATCGGCGGATCAGATCACGTGTAACTTGCACCGGTGAGCACGCCGTTAAAGTGAACGGACTAATCATAGTCTGACTAATAAAGTGACGTATTATACTCTATTTCTTTACAGAAATTCCGCCACCAATACCGAAGTCTCCATCACTATTTCCTTCTTCATCGCCGTGGTCACCACCACCACCACCAACACCAACGCTATCATCATCATCATCATCATCATCATCATCATCATTGTCGTCATCGTCATCATCATCATCATTATTATTATCATTATCAACATCATCATCATCCTCAGTGCTATCTACGGGTTCATCATACAGTTTTGCCCCAACGCGAACTACCACGTTCTTAAATCCAAGTACTCCTGACATCAACGGCACATGGAATAATAATCGCACAAAAACAGGTTCCACTGCATCTACAACAAACGCTACAGAAGCAAGTACGCTGATGTCAATGCTATTATGGTGTAGTTACTTCTTATCTCGTTGGTGATAAAGAAGCAAAGATATTGTAATTTACTTAAAAGTAGGGCAAGGGCAAGAGGGAATCAGGATGAGGATTTTCATTAACAAGTAGCTGGAATAGCCATGTGAGCAAGTTCTCTTGGCGATGTTCGACATATGATGTTCTTAGTATTCGGATCACCATATCTTCAAAATACATGTACAGATATGAATGTAAATAAAAGTTCAAGCGAAATGTTAACTGTGCCATGTGTGATTTTTTAAAAAGCTTTTCTCGCCCCTGTATGAGGCGTTATTTTGCTAAATCATTACTCGCCCACCGGCTGCAACGTAAAGAATAACACATTTCATAAATGCAGCTGTATTTGGCGATTGTTGGTTCCTTATTCTCTACCATGCAATTCTATTCAGTGTCGATTCCGAAATTGATAATATACAGTGCAGTACGGATACTTTTTTGGAGACATTACATTAATTCTTATACCACCACGGGCTCAGTATAGGTCAGCAAATGTCTTATTTTGACAGCTGTCAAAATTTGATCTGACTGGCGCACATCACTTTTATGACATACTGTATATTCTCACATTCTTCCCTGGGTAAGAGTGACATTCCACATTGGTTTACGTGGAAGGACGAATGGAATTGAAGAGTCACAGACAAGCGGCAAAAACTGTAATCCTGCATTTTCTTATACAGTCACACCCTGCTTTACGGACATCTTTATAATTACGAACAGTTTGCTTTGTCCCTGGGTGGGAAAAGACCTGTCATTTACTCGAATTTCAACCCGCTTAATACGGACACTTTCTGTGGTCCCCTTAGTGTCCCTATTGACGAGGTTTAACTGAGTTACTGTAAATTGACCTTAGTGTTCCGTTGATGCGAGCAATAAGTCTTAAGACACTGCGCTTAAAGTGCTAAAAAGTACTTATTTAACCGAGAGCTGAAAAATAAGATGTTTCAGGTCTCGAAGAGGTGTGGCTTATCCCTTGCCAACACCCTTTACGTCAGACACTAGCAAAATATTAAATCGTAAGTAAAAGTAAAACACAACTAAATCAAGTTTGACAACACTGCAAAACTATAAAAGGGTTCGTGTTGCCAGTGTTGTATACTCGTGCTGCCTGCACTACCACAGAGATTAAACCAGTCTGAAAGCAAAAAGGGAAAAAATCAATATTTATGAAAAAGTACTGCTCGTGCAATTAGATTTTCATGTGTATTTTGCATTATTGAACGTTACAAAAACACTATTGATTACCAGGATAAAGACCAAAACGCTAATATAAAGTTGTGACGTGTTAGTTGTTGTTGTTGCTTTTGGTCTTTTTTTAACTTAAATATAAGGGACTGAGGTTTAGAAGTCATAATAAGAGTTATATCTACACCTATGAGAATTTAATGCCAACGGTTTGAATGGGATCAGGAATCAAAAAGTCTTTTTATTAGTAAATTAAATCATACCAGTTACAAAGAGCGCAAGAAAAACAACTCTCTTCCCTGCCGTGGACAGTTCTTTCGGTGAATCTCATTGAAAAGAATTCGAAATTTCAAACAATTCCGTATGAATAAAAACAGACACCTCTGGCTTACTGTCTTTTTGAATCTGTACCGAGGAGGTCATTGTCAGTTTTCTTCATCATCATTATGTCTAATCGCGCCAATAGGCGCATAAGGCCTCCATTGTCAGTTTTAAAACATTATCAGTTTTACTTTTTATATTTTGAAAGTAACAAGGGGAATTACTTAAACCATCCGCCAGGATACATCAATTTACCTTTCGTAAGTGGGTGGAGTGTGGTCTTTAGATAAAGCTGTATATTCTCCATCAGAGCCGCTGGTAGAAACAAACAAATAGATAAAAAAAATAAAGATAAATTGCACTGTGCAAAAATGTCTCGGGAGTCTTTTAAACCTTTACATGGAGCCGGAGAGAGTAAGCCGGCTGATACATTTTCACTTAAGTGTCATTGTCTGAGAAAGTGTTCTAGGGGCCAAAAGTTGTGGTCAACCGATTTGGCTGAAACTTGGCACAGAAGTTCGGTATAATGAGATATTTCAAAAGCCACTTTGGCTCACTTCTCTGAGTTTTAGTTTTGGAGTTACAGGGGGGGTCTCATTTTTTGCCCTTTGAGCACCAAAAATCCAGCCTTCCAGGGGGCATTTTGAAAGTGTGATAAGACCCCACTGGTACATTGTGCTGCCAAATAAATTTGACCATGAATTCTACTATAATAGAGCTTTCAGTTCATGCATGTAACTTTGTCCTCAACGTATTGCACAGAGAGGAGCCTGGGGCTAGAGTTTGGCCAAAATTGATGTTAAAATTACAACCCAAAATAGCCATTTTTCAAAATTTCACTATATTCACCTGCCTTCTTGCATAACTTCCAAACCTATACCACTGTTTACTTTAGTCACCCAGTTATCAAAATCAGTAGAGAAAAATTTGGCTTATTATGGTTTATTGAATTTTTGGAACAAACACTTCATGCCCCTCTAAGGCGATGCAAAATGGAATTTTGAGCCTAATTCAGGCCATAAACAAACCAAATTGTTGACAAGAAGCCCTTATTTTGTATCTGGTAAGTGAAAATGAATTGTCAAAGCCAAGTCAGTTTCGTTGTTTAGAAATACACCGATTCTTACCTTAAAATTGATCTAAAACGGGCCTCTGATTAGCGCAACAAACACATAATTTAGCAAAACAAAGGTGATTTTATTCTTTGAAAACCTAGTAACCATCATAGAACACAAATGATGATGTTCTGATGTACATACAACAATCTTTTTACAAGATGCTTAAATTTGTCTTTGATTTATAGTCAGTTTTACGTCATATTTCCAAGCATTACTCCAAGCATGTAAAGTCTCCATATTTTGTCAGGCCCATTTTTTTATATTTTTACCAGATAAATTTAGTTTATCAAAAGGTTCGTTAACATATAATCTTCGTCTGACCTTGTAATAGCCTGAATAGTTGTTTTAAATACCCATCAGCAAAGGAGCATGACCATACATACGTAGATTACACAGACATATACGAGCTTCAGTGAGCAGTATCGAGGTGAACTGTGATTTTCCGAGTCCTTTAGAGCTGAAAAAATGAAACCATCCATCCACGGTTAGGAGAGCTGGATAACAAAAAGCTTGTTTTGCTTTTATAAAGAAAATAACCCAAACAAAGCCTTGCATTGAGATGATGCACTTGTTATTACATCAAGTTAGCTGGCCCGCCATTTTGGACTTGAAGAGTGTGGGGACTGGACCGAGTTCCCGTCCAATCCTTCTCCTGTTTCGCGGGAATTTTTTCTGTTTTTCATCAGGTTTGTTCGAAATTCTAGAAAGCGATCTGTTTCAGGATAATTTTTCGATGGCACTTTATTCCTTTGGGGTAAATGACCAGTGCAGTGTCACGTCATGGGCTGTGCAAGAAACAGGAATGCTTCCTTTGTTGTCTTGCGATAGTGACATGACTGCATGGTTAAAGCACAAGTAGAAGGGTTCAGGTGTGTCCGGGGAAGAAGAGGAAGAAATGGTAATGCCAAAGGTACAGGTGATTCAAAATATCAGTTAGGGATCATATACGCGGACAAATGGCATTTATCGTGATCTACGGCACTCTTCTGACTGAAAAGAGATTTAGAGACGACGATATGTAATTTACGATATTGTCTTCTCAAATTGTTTGTTTATGGTTGATTGATTCCCATGTTAATATCCTGGGTCCTTAGGAAGAGCACTAAACATTCATCAAATTTGTCCAAAAAAAGAAAGAAAAAACAAGTACGATAGGAATAACTTGAAGGCTCTTTTTTGTCTGCTCGAGCTGTTTGCTTACATTATAAGCTTGTCACGTGCACACGCTTATCATGCAATGCACAATTCAGTTACCGGTTTCCATTATTTACCCTTTTCGTCAAAGATCTTTGCAAACATGCTGCATCTAAGTTTTTCGACGAAATTGACATTTTCAGGGAGAAAATGTCACTAAAATGTCGTCGCAAAATCGACCGAATTAGTTGATATTATTGGATTTGCTTGGAGTAATGCATAGGCAATGAACACACATATGTTGTACTTGAATGGGAACTGACTCTGAATCGTTCTGGAAGAGCACGGAAGATTTGTGTATATTTGTAGAAAAAATTGTTTCATTATTTAATTAAAAAATTATTTAAAATAATGTTAACTATTCAATTAAAAGAATAATGAAAAAATATACCTAAATATGAGTGTTATCTGCTAAAACTCTCTAAAATTCCCTAAAAAAACTCATAAAATTTTTATTCTTTTTTGATAGCGAGGGCCTCTTTTGGTGAATAACCGCTGATTAGTTGTAGTGTTGAAGACTCTGATGAAAAACTGCTGATTTGTTGTCCTCAGTGAATAGTACTCCAGACACTGTTTTAGCATGTGGGTGGACTGAGCCCTCTCTTGGTTGGTAGGAATACAGAAAAATAAAAACGTTTTTTCAACGTTTCTGCCTGTGAAATGTTGCTATTCAGTATTCTCCTATATCTACTGCTATTTAAGTTCTAGTATTTGTCAATTTTTTTTTAATATTCTTGAGATTTTCTAAAATTCTTTTTCATGTCCAAAATTCCCAAAACAATTCCTTCGGAATTATGTAGCTAAGCCTATTTTAAGTTGACTTGTCTTCGACGAAACAGGTAAATAAAGGAGACCGGTGGAGTTTCAATGCAAGCTGGCTCGAATTGTGCATTGCCAAACTTAGCCTTGCTTGATAAGCGTGCCCACGTGACAAGCTGAATGTAAACAAACAGCTCGAGCAGACAAAAAACAGCCTTCAAGTTATTTCTATTATCATTATTGTTATTTATTTTTTTAGAAAGATGTTGCTGCAATGAGTTTGTTGAATGTTTAGTGCTCTTCGTAAGGACCCAGGAAATTAACATGGGAATCAATCAACCATGTGAACAAACAATTTGAGACGACAACATCGTAAATTGTATATCATTGCAGTCTTTCTTCAAGCAAAAGAGTCCCGTGAACTGCGATAAAAATCATTTTGTGCGCGTGTATGATCCCTAACTGATATTTTGAATCACCTGTAGCTTTGGCATCACCAGTTCTTCCTCTTCTTCCCCGGACACACCTGAACCCTTCTACTTGTGATTTAACTATGCAGTCATGTCACTACCGCAAGACAACAAAGGAAGCATTCCTGTTTCTTGCACAGCCCATGACGTGACACTGCACTGGTCATTTACCCCTCCAAAGGAATAAAGTGCCATCGAAAAATTATCCTGAAACAGATCGCTTTCTAGAATTTCGAACAAACCTGATGAAAAACAGAAAAAATTCCCGCGAAACAGGAGAAGGATTGGACGGGAACTCGGTCCAGTCCCCACACTCTTCAAGTCCAAAATGGCGGGCCAGCTAACTTGATGTAATAACAAGTGCATCATCTCAATGCAAGGCTTTGTTTGGGTTATTTTCTTTATAAAAGCAAAACAAGCTTTTTGTTATCCAGCTCTCCTAACCGTGGATGGATGGTTTCATTTTTTCAGCTCTAAAGGACTCGGAAAATCACAGTTCACCTCGATACTGCTCACTGAAGCTCGTATATGTCTGTGTAATCTACGTATGTATGGTCATGCTCCTTTGCTGATGGGTATTTAAAACAACTATTCAGGCTATTACAAGGTCAGACGAAGATTATATGTTAACGAACCTTTTGATAAACTAAATTTATCTGGTAAAAATATAAAAAATGGGCCTGACAAAATATGGAGACTTTACATGCTTGGAGTAATGCTTGGAAATATGACGTAAAACTGACTATAAATCAAAGACAAATTTAAGCATCTTGTAAAAAGATTGTTGTATGTACATCAGAACATCATCATTTGTGTTCTATGATGGTTACTAGGTTTTCAAAGAATAAAATCACCTTTGTTTTGCTAAATTATGTGTTTGTTGCGCTAATCAGAGGCCCGTTTTAGATCAATTTTAAGGTAAGAATCGGTGTATTTCTAAACAACGAAACTGACTTGGCTTTGACAATTCATTTTCACTTACCAAATACAAAATAAGGGCTTCTTGTCAACAATTTGGTTTGTTTATGGCCTGAATTAGGCTCAAAATTCCATTTTGCATCGCCTTAGAGGGGCATGAAGTGTTTGTTCCAAAAATTCAATAAACCATAATAAGCCAAATTTTTCTCTACTGATTTTGATAACTGGGTGACTAAAGTAAACAGTGGTATAGGTTTGGAAGTCATGCAAGAAGGCAGGTGAATATAGTGAAATTTTGAAAAATGGCTATTTTGGGTTGTAATTTTAACATCAATTTTGGCCAAACTCTAGCCCCAGGCTCCTCTCTGTGCAATACGTTGAGGACAAAGTTACATGCATGAACTGAAAGCTCTATTATAGTAGAATTCATGGTCAAATTTATTTGGCAGCACAATGTACCAGTGGGGTCTTATCACACTTTCAAAATGCCCCCTGGAAGGCTGGATTTTTGGTGCTCAAAGGGCAAGAAATGAGACCCCCCTGTAACTCCAAAACTAAAACTCAGAGAAGTGAGCCAAAGTGGCTTTTGAAATATCTCATTATACCGAACTTCTGTGCCAAGTTTCAGCCAAATCGGTTGACCACAACTTTTGGCCCCTAGAACACTTTCTCAGACAATGACACTTAAAAAATACTGATCTTTAGAAAGAAGAAGGCAATATGTTACCTGACGTATAGAATGTTATCAGTGGATTTTTCATTCATGTCCTTGTTGTTACTGGAAAAAAAAAGAAGCTTAATTTTTGCAAGCACTTGCAGAAAGCTTAAATGATGAAGGAACTACTTTGTCAACAATTTTGTATTATGTGGTTTACCTGGGTTTATCGGCCAGCATCTTGACGTCCATTTCGGTCGAGTTGGGAATTGACAGTTCGGTACTTCTCGGATCACAGTAGCTGTGAATTAAAGAAAATAATGGAATATTTCTACAAAACTAAATACAAATGAACAAAATTCTGGCCATGAAGGAGTTAAAAACCCACGAAAAAGTTCTCTGTTTGAAAATCGCGTGATTGGTGGGTCATGCATGTACCAGCCGCGAAATAGTGATTTCTTTCAAAACTTGTATGGGTCCACTGCAACGGGTCGAACCCACGTCAGATTCGTAGCCAGTCGATACTTACTGTTCTTCTCTCCAAGGAATATGGAAAGAAAAATTGACGCACGCAAAGGCGCTTCGAAAGGAGAGGAAAAAGGTGGAAAAGGTCGTGTTTTTCTTCCTTCCTTCCCTTCATGGGCTGCGAACTCACATGGCAAATCCTTCTCATTAACCACCGCGCGGCGCGAATACAGATAGGCGACTGGGTACGAGTCTGAACCCCCGTCATCCCGCTCTGTAAGGTCTGCGCTCTATACTAAGCTAATTCCGCAGGCCACGAGCACCATTTGATCGATAAGCCTGCAGGGATCAGTTTAATAAAACGTTTACTGTTCTTTACAAGTCTAGCTGTTGGGTTAAACTCTAAAACAGTGTCTACTCTTGTTATTTTCATATACTTGTAAAAATTTTATTAAATTTGTATAATAGGTAAAAGCATGATTTGTAGTGATATCTGGTATAAATACCACGAGTGATATTTCAAAATTGTTATACGTAATTTCAAGAGCGGTTAGGCGAGTGAAATTTGAGACAATTTTGAAATATCAAGAGTGGTATTTATGCCGAATATCACGTACAAATCATGCTGTTATTTGTTTATACTACAACACAAAAAAGGTTTGTAATTTTAACATGTAGGTATTTCAAATTAAGCTGAAATACCACTGCTTTAAGCCAATCAAATTGCAATGATTTCTCTTGTAGTAGTATAAACCCCTGAATAACACACAGCTGCGCGCTGTGTGAATAGTTATAATAGTTATAATATGTTGCGGATTTTTTTTAAAATAGTATTGACAAAAACACACCTATTGTCGTCATCCGTCACTACAGCTAAGCCGTCCATCATATCTGAAGTACCAGTTCCAGTCTTGTTATATTCAACATAACACTTTCCATTATCGCTCTTCTCAGCGTCTCTTTTTTCTTTGCTGATAAAAAAAACATCCACGAAAAAGTGACGAGCAGTAGAAACATCAGCCAGTAAATTACTGGCCAACAGAAAGAGACAGCGAGTTTACGCTACAGTCAGCCACTGTACGCCTAGACATTTCGCTACTTAAACACTGAAGCATAAGGCAAATGATCGAGATTGCAAAAGAAGGGCCGAGGGAGAGTTTTCTTACAAAGTTGTTCATAACCTCTCATTTCTAAACGCAAATGGAGCGGAACACGTGAAATTACGATCTTTTTGGCGCGTACTCTCACGGCGTTTAATTCAGCAGTCTAGATACAAGGGGGCGTTCAACTCCGATAGGGAAACGAAGAGAAAAAAGCAGAGTAAATCTAGAATGAAATAACTAAGATTACTGGAACTAATTGGCGCTCTTTCTAATGAAAACTGAACCAAATCATGATACCGTGGTCGCCTTAACTGAATAAAACTATACCTTAAATGTTTTCTTCTCCGCTGTACGAATAGATACAGCAGAACCACAAAGCACATCACCAAGACAACAGCTAAGATAACGCTGACCGCAATTAGAGCATTTTTATATACGCCATCCCCATTCTCTGTTTGACGATGAGGCGCATTGTTTCCAGTAGGATGTTCTTGTAAGGCCCTGGTGTGAGCTGCGGATGTTACCATTCTTCTTGAGGTGGTGTTTGTCATTTTGTTGGTAGTCTCTGTTGCAGTCGATTGCGTTGGGAGAAGGACAGCTATCAAACAGGAAAATAATGACGAAACAGTAAACATCCATATATCTATTTTTGCTTAGCACTAAAGATCACCAAAAATCTAGCTTGGACCAGACTTCACTTGAGTTGGTGAACTTTTCTCAGTTTCCACTAATACTCCGTTCACAGGCAGCCACCGGAGGGAAATCAAGAGGTTATGTCCGGCCACCTGCAGATATTCCCACCCAAGACCAAGGAAAGTATACTAGGGTTGGTATTCCAGAGATTTATTACACCCTGGTATTCCTTTAACATCCAACAGACTTAGATAAAGTGGAAGCACTGCAAGACAGTGTCGCCTCAGGTAAGGTAGTCCGGGTTTTGCTTGTGGAATCCATATTACTGGAAATTCAGCTCAGGGATTGGAATCCAGAATCCACCGACAAGGAATACCGATTCCAGGTAAGTGGAATCCAAAATCCAAGACTGTCTTGGATTTTCTTACATTAGGCAAGACGATGCCTTCGGTGTTTCGTCTTCGTCGGAGAAGACTAGAAGGCAAAATAAAACAGTTCAACACTGGAGGCAAATGCAATAAAAGGCACATATCGTATCAACCAGAACTGAGGTTATATGCATGATGAAACTGAAGGAAAATAATTATAAGAAACTAAAAGTTACGCGTCGGTGCAGACAAAGTAGACTGACTGGATAGTATGTTTTCTGTATTATTAACGTATATTATTCAATGCCTACCTGAAGAGTTATGGCATGGGCACAGCCTTCGAACGTTTGGATTGTTAGCGGTGTGACAGTCAATAGTACTATTTATGGCCTTGAATCCAGTGCATCTACCAGCCCACAGATTACCTTCCATTGGTGGCAAAGTTGAAAAATAATTTGGTTGGTCTAGGTAGTGGTAAAAATCTGTATAATCACTTGTTTCACAAGTTATTCCCAAAGACTGAAATATGGATAAAGCAGATGAGTTTGGAAAGCTCTGGCCTGTTCCGGCACATTGAAGACCAAACGAGGCGCAAACTGAGTCACAATTCTGTCTCCCACAAGTCGCCATGAAATACTTGATACCTAAAAGTATAGTAAAGCTTCAAGTCTTCCGGGCCTAAGCGCTGGCAATAAGCACGGAAAAGCTAAAAACTGAGCCAAAGGAAACCGATTTGTTTATAAAACAGTTTTTAAGATTGCCTTAGTATTGCTATTATTGCATTATTCTAAAAACTGAGCCTAAGGAAACCGATTTGTTCATTAAACAGTTTTTAAGATTGCCTTAGTATTGCTATTATTACATTATTCAATTTCAACATAACACTTTGATACAAGCTTATTTGTATCAGAGATAGTTCAGGTAGTCTCGACAAAGGACAATTAAGTCTAGTACCTCAGGAGTTTTGCCGAAAATGACAAAAATCTGCTGGTATGGTATTGACTGTGTTATTTTTCGCAAGTTCAATTATGGCATGGTAGAGTCCTATCTATGGAACTCAGTATTGTTCCGTTCATAAAATGTATTAATCGCCTTTTTAAGGCCGGTTTTCACTAGCAACGGAGTCGGAGTCGTAAGCGGAGTCGTAAGAGCGACGGAATCGGAGTCAGAAGAATCAGAACGTTTCCATTTCTTCCGACTCCGCTTACGACTCCGTCGCTTACGTTCCGCTTATGATCTCAGTAGTGAAAATCAGATTGTCAGAGTCGCGGAAGCAGAAGCAGAAGGATAAACGAATCACATTGCACATTCCCAAGCTTTGCGATTGGTTTAGTTCTTCCGCTTCTGTTTGCGACTCTTCTCTTGATCCTGTAAAACGCAGTCGTAAGCGCCATCAGAAGGTTGTTAGATCACTAAATCGTAAAGTTCCAAGCGTCTGATTACGACTCCGACTCCGACTCCGTCGCTAGTAAAAACCAGCCTTCAAGGATCAATGAAAAGAACACTGAAGAAGACAAATAAACTATGGATAAAAATAAATTCAGCAATTTATTTTTAAATCTTCCCTGTTGTAAATTACGGATTAAAAAATGCGAAAAAGGTAGTGGAATTAATTATATATAGACAAGAGTGTTTTAGTGGAAAATAGACCATTCGTATAGTTCATATGAAACTACTTCCAGGACTTCAGAAGAGGTAATTTCCTTGTCTTCGCTAGTGAGGATATCGATGACTTCATTTTCCGCTCAAACTGTATGTTGTTTGTGTACAGTTTGCCAAATGCCAAGAGAAAATGGAGAGCGATTAGATTCGTGAAGTTATCTCAAGCTGACATGAAATCTTTCTCTGAGGAGCAAGAGAATGTTTATACGCAGAAGAAAGCTTTGTATGACTCAAAATTATTCAAAGAGTTCCTTACAAGTGAAGACGAAAGGAAAGAACTTTAAGAAATTCCTACAACTGAACTACAGCAGTTCGCGATAAAGTTTGTGCTGGGAGTTAGAGAGAAAAATGGTACCTAAACACTCTTGTCTATATATCACTAGCAGTAATCGTACTATAGTGCGTCGCCTTAGGTCTCTCTAATGAAGCTCAGTTTTCCAGGTCAACGGCGAAGGTAACTGTGTTTGGTACAACAACATTTGTTTGACGGAATGGCCACCGAGTACACCGACTCGGTTTACTTGCTTTGTGACCGCAATGGGTCAGAGTGCGAGTGCAATGACTCCGTTTAACTGGTATGTGCGTGTGCACAATGGGTCATTGTGCTTAATGGCCACCGAGTACACCGACTCGGTTTTGTTTGCTTTGTGACCGCAGTGGGTCAGAGTGCGAGTTGCAATGACTCCGTTCAACTGGTATGTGCGTGTGCACAATGGGTGGGTCATTGTGCTTAATGGCCAGCGAGTGCAACGACTCGTTTCATTTGATGGACTGATTTTATTTGACTGAGTATGAGAAATCGTTACTTTTGATTGAGTAAAATGACTCGTTTCATTTGACTGAGTAGTTTCATTTTTAAGATTAGTACCAGCAGCAATATGGTAGAATATGCCGTTTGGACATCAGGTGTCGCAAAAGCTCCAGGAATGGTGAATACTTCCCTGAGCATTTGATGTACGAACGATTTAGAAAAGAAAAGATTGATCTTGCCTTGAAGTTTGTAGAATTCACGAAGAAGCAAGAAAGATCCCAAATTAAACCACGAAATCCAAAGGTTGCGAAACGCGCTGGGAACAGGAACGCGATGGGAATTATGGATACTATTATAACGCAAACATACTATTGTGACGTTTCAAAATGGCGCATGGCACGATCGGCATGCTGGATGCTATTGTGACGTTTCAAGATGGCGCAGTTTTGGAACCGACCGACAACCTCTTTTCTCGATTTCTAGTGCTTGGAACATGCACAGGCTACCCACGAACACACAGAGTAACCAACGACTCAATTAGGAAGCGTCTCCTCCGTCGACGCAATAAAAAGAAAATTACACGTTGGATTGAAGATATAAATTTTATTTTCTCGTGGTGAAAAACGATATTTTACTCACTCGCTGCGCTCCTTCTTAAAATATTGTTTTCACCACTCGAAAAAATAAAATTCATATCTTCGTGCCGCCGAGTAATGTTCCTCTCTATACTCTATATTTCATTGCTTTTTTAGCAGAGATGGAATCGATACTTGAAAGTTTAAGGTTCAATCGGTTGTCTTAAACTCGAGTTGGGACCGGTCAGTTTGCAATGGAAATTTCTTCCGTTTCAGCTCTCCAATGGTTCGAATCATTTCACTGTCTTCTGCGGGACCTCGTAGTGAAGCTTGCTCTATGAGTGATCCGGGCCTTTTGGCGAAGTTTAAAAATAAATAAATGAATAAATAAACTTAATAATTCGATCATAGATATTATTAATCCCAGAGCTTGCTTTGCTTTTTATTTCCTCTGAAATTTATCTGTAATGGTAGTATCATGACAAGAGACTCGTTTTAATTACTTTTAAGCATTTACTGAATCAATTTGAATGGATGAATGTTTTTGTATAGCTTAACATTGTAGGTCCAACATTCAATTTGCACATTGTTGTGATTCTTTCATGTGATACAATTCCTTTATATGCCCCGACTATTTACCAGGATCCACCAGCGACCGGCGAAAAACTAGATTATCCTAAAGCATCCAGTTGTTCCTGTCATTTCGGTGACCAAGTGATCAGTCCCGTTTACTTAACCTCGTCAACCTTCAATCATATTTTCCTGCTTTAAATGTTCGATGATGCACTGCTTTAACGGATATGGAATCGATACTTAAACTCGAGTTGGGGCCTGCTTTGCAATGGAAATTTTTTCCGTTTCGGCTCTCCACTGCTTTGAACCTAAATCATTTCATTGTCTTCGAAAAACAAAGGAAAGAGAATGAAAGAGAATGATCGGCTTAGTAATCAGTGAAGTGAATTGTAATCGCTGCAGATCTGCCCTGGTTGACGCTATGTTTGCAACTATTGATAAGGACCAGTTTGCGAAAACCCATAGGCACATTAAAGTCAGCACATCTACCAAGTTTATCAGTGATATGTTGGTAACTAACGACGAAATTGAGTCCGCAAAAGAGAGAAATTTTCAGGCGATACGTTTCATTGGTAGGAGGCCTAATTCCTCCACTCTGTAGAATTTCGTGACGTCTTGGAGCTTTTTAAAATCGCACGATAACTTTATAACCTAGCAAGTATTCCAATTTCAAGGCGCCCTTTTCATGAGTATAAATGAATGTTTTCTGTCCCAGCTGGTAAGAAAGCAGTAGAAGGGTCTATTGTTTGTTTACGTACGAGCACCGTCTTGTTCAGCGTTCTGTTGTTAACTTTAGTATTTGTGCTATGATATTTTCAGTCCGCATACCTGCAGGATTTGCCAGTATCCTCAAAGTCGACAAGTTCATCGTAATCAAAGCAAGAAACATTCCACACGCAGACATGTTTATCAACCAGACAAATTGGTTTGGAAAGTCAAACCGCTTTTGTCTCTCGTAAACTAGTGTATCGACATCAATAGATCAATACAAAGAGGAAGCATCCGTGAGGGTCCAATTTGGTAATAAAAATAATGACGTGACGTTTATGACCGGGACCGATTCGTGACGGGACTGACGGATCCGTAACGTATCCATCTCTATAATCAGCCTCCAACAGCTGCACAGCCTGAGCCTCCTAACAAGCTCTCTGGGCCGCTCTCCGTTAACAGAGCGCTCCAGAGAGCTAGCTTGCTTGAAGGCTACCACAGACTAGAAGTTGGGGAGCTTAAGCAATCATGCATGAAGACGAAGGCAGTGAAAACGTCAAAGAAAAAAGTGAATCTAGGTTTTTTTATTTAGCTTTGTTCACATTGTCAAATGTGGAGGAATTTTTGGAGGGGTGCGAAAATGCTTGAGAAGTGTATCCATGTTCAAAAAGGACTAGAAGAGAATGGAAAACTCGTCGTCGTGTGTTTACGTCCGCCATAAAACATCGCATTTATAGGAAATCGTTATTGTGTAGTGGACTTCAGTCTCTCCACCCCGCAGGAGGTGGGAGCTATTAGGACCCCTATTAGGCAGATTACCAGAGTAATTTATTGGCTGAGACATTCATGGTTACTCTATTACAGCTATTAGGGTAAACAAAACCAGTATCCAGATAAAAGATATGATCAGCCTAATTGACTGGGATGGTGGAACTAAGAATGCCCACCATTGGACAATATAGCAGCAAGAGGGAATGAGCTCAGTATCTCTTGATAGCAGCCTGTTTTTACCACAGCCAACCGCACTGGGAACAGCCTTCAGCATGCACACCACATCCACCGATCATGAGTCGATTAGGTTAAATCTGATCACAACCCCGCTGCAAGGTGCTTCCCACAGTCCTGCTGTACTGACAGTCCAGCACAGTGAATCTGCACCATCGCTTGATGACGCCCAGCAGCGGGTACTGAATGAACGGTCAAGACCTCGAAATCAAGTGACCATTCGTTATCGTCAAAGATGAAGTATTTTTTGCGGCATTTCGTATTCCCGAGCGGCCTAGGACGAGAGGTTATTTTTGCGTGAAAGCGAGGCTAAAGCGGGTCACTTCTTACCAAGAAGACTAACAAACATGAGAAAACTGCCTTTATATTATTTTCAGTAATCGTTAAAACGTCCTAAAGCCATTGAGGTGGACGTACTTGTCGAAAGCCTGCAAGTTAAGCTGAAACCTTCCTTTCAGTGGACATTTTTTCTTACGGAGCGAATGCAAAATCTTGTACGTTACCAAAAAACGAGAAGTCGAAAGACTACTGCAGAAGCTGATCATAACAACGTATATTGCTTTTTTATAACAATATTTCGGCTGGCTATACCAGCCTCCATCAGTTTTTACAGATGTTACTGAATTTATGATAGGAATTACAATATTATTATATAGATGGAGAATGTGGCAATAAAAATTGGGTGAGTGAGAGGCGGAAATGACGTACATAAAAAAAACGAAAAGAAAAACTAATAAGGATATGGATTACAATAATTCGTCATGGCGGTTTAGGCCCTTAGGTTCAAGAATCATGGCCTTATCTATCAAATGTGACTCTCTCGCCTTACGGACTGACTCACGTAAAGAATGAATTTTCTCTAGTAGGATAACTGCATGTCAGTGTGAGAATGGTCAGAGGGAGAATATTACGTTCGGTGGGTAAAACTCTTTTAGGACAGGACAGAAGTTCTGCATGCATGCATTCCTTGCACTGCGAGGGAGTTAAATCGGTTTGAATGAAGATGACTCAAAAGGTAGAGTTTATTCATACATTTAGCTTATATTATAATATCAAAATATAATAACAAGAAGAACGGTAATGGAAGGGAATAACAAACTTTACCCGTTTCAAGAATATAAAGTTTAAGCTTACTTCTTCTTTTGGCTTCGTCGGTTTTTCCTTCCTCTGTACGATCAGCTCTTCCCAAAGTTTTTTTTGTTTGAAACAGATCTCCCTTTGGCTTACTGGTAGAGTTTAAGCTTTGAAATCTTACTATCATTTTTCAGCGACTCAGCCGCAATCTACTTATGTTTGTTTTTGTTTTCGCAAAGACGTTGACCCGCATTTAGCCACGAAGCCCACGATCATGCAGTGAGAAGTTTCTCGTCCCAGGACCGTCAGGGAATACGAAACTTGCCTATTTTAGGCCATTCAACAGCTTATCATTAGATCCCATATCAAGGTATAAGCCGGTTAATTAATGCGTTTCGTTATTTCACGTTTTTCAGCTTGAAAGGAAAGGAAAAGTCTTTTTTTATAAAGGATGAAAAAATAATAATGATAATAATAATAACGAATGCAGTGGCGTGTGAATGAGGAGGGTACTCTGATCAATTTCCTGCTGATTTAGCCAATGAGCGTGATTTCTATGGGGTGAATAAAACAAAAGCCAGTGATGTTTATTTTAGCAAAGCTGGCAGTGTTAATCTGTGGATTAAACAGAAAACTTAGCAGAATACATAAATCGCACGAGTCGGGACATGAGGGTATTCTATCTATTGCGTGGAAGATTATTTTCTTTGTAATATAATTACGATCAGATGCTATGACCTAGGTAGAGAGTTGGGACTGGGTGTCAGTCGAGTCGAGTGCAGACCAACCCAATTCCATCAGTTAAGCCCCTAGAAAATGATGATTATCAATAAACTGGCTCTTAATTACATTTCTGAAAAGATGAACGGTTTTTTTTACTTTCAATTGTTAAGCTACTTACAATACAGGACATAAATACCTTAATATTTGCAATACTTTTTTCAGGCCAAGCAATGAAAGAGCTCTGCAAGTATAGCCAACAATCTTAGTTATCTTACGTCAGCGGAGAGGCAAAAAGAAATCAGTGCTAGTGGTGGAGGGGGGAGGAGGGAGAAGTGTCCAAACACTTGTAACTATTAAAGATCGTGACTAAACATTACTGACATTAAGAATACTCTCGTCTTCGTAAGTTGCTGCTGTGCATCGAGCTGTTATATATAACAAGCACGCCAGTCCAATGAGTATTTGTACTAGTAAGGAAGAAAGAGACATTACATTTGTACCTGTAGCTAAACGGAAAATAAGACGAAAAATTCTAAAGTTTATTCTTCAACTAATATAAATACGCCGTGTCGAGTTGCAATTCGATGCTTTGATGATGACGTCGAGTATGAAACAAACTTTAAAGGTCAACAATAAATGATAGTTCTGAGAGAGAGCAGCAAAAAATCACAACTAATGCAGCCGGCCGGTGCGTCAACAAGACAGATAACCCGCAGATCTCTGGAATCCATGGACTTGTTGAATGTAATTTTCTTTTTATTGTCCCTCTGGTCTGCTGCCATCCGTCACGGATATTCTAGTACGTAAATGTTTTTCTCCATTTTATGTTAACAACAAAAAGCTTTGCAGTTGTAAGAAGCATTTCGTCATGTGTGGAACCCTTTTACATTGTGCCTTATTTTTTTCTTTTCAAAAACGTCTCGTATTCAACTCCCTCATCCTATCTTTAGACTGGAGTATTGGATTTTCTTTCTATACTTTTTGAGAAGATTGAAGTGTAGAACAAGGGTCCTTAAAAACTCGAAATGAAATAATGTTGAAAGGTATGACTTTTAGTTTCCGGCCTAAACGTAAAGGGTGTCAAAAGAGAAGAAACCATAACACCGGCTAAGGAATAGTCACCCTACACAGCTAACTTCTCAACTTTTAATATCTTTTTCAAAACCTTACCTTTGATTTTCTGACTAACTGTAGTCACAAGTTCATTTGTTGTGTTAGTATGATGCCTTCCAATTTCAGTTATCTAGATGACCTTTCTCTAAATTCGTTTGCTTTCACTGTTATTTTAGATGGGCTTTATTTATTTGTTGTGTAAAAATCAGATTAGAAAGTTGCAAGGTAACGAAAGACAGAAAAATCTCGGCAGATCATGCATTTCATCTTCTTTTCGCCCTGCGTCTTATCTTGCAAAATACAGCATTGTTCACTGATCAGTGCTAGTTTTGCATCACCGGAACGCAGAAGCGTTTCACAACCTATCGTGTTTACATCTAACAAAAATTGTGTCAGCTTGTATGGTACACAGCCTCTATTTGTACCTAACTTTGTCGTTCTCGAGTGCCAGGCTGCAAGAGTATCTTCGCTTAACGTGTGACCCTTCTTTCATCGCTGACATCTGAACTCGCAAAACTTAAAGGTACTTTACTACACGGCGCGGTTTTATCGGGTTGACTGCGGTCAAACAAAAGAAAGTAGCTAGAGCTGAGCAAAGTACTTCAAAGTAAATCAAAAATACATCGTTGAATTTTCTAAACTTTTTGAAAGTTTACTAAAAAAAATCTGAAAACTGAAACTGGTGTTACTATCGGTACCATTTGTCATAATACTACGCCGGGACGGAACATTTTCGGTAAAAAAGAAGCCCACAGTTTTGAGAAGAATGCGGAGATAGTTACAATAACTAATTCCGCAGTCCTTGCCCAATCTCACTACACAAAGCAAAAGAAGACAGCCGTCAGACGTCGTCAGGCGTTTTGCATGGTTTTGACCGCGGTGGATTTTATCCCTAGTTCCCAGGCTCTTTCTTCTGTCCTCTTGAGAAGACGTACAACTTGATAGTTCACCACTATACACTAGTGATAACCAAATGTAAAAGAGTGCTTGAGAGATCGATCACTGTGTTTTGTGTAAGTTTCACGTGATAGAAGGTCCAAATGCGCGTGATTAGATTGCATTCCATTCATGACTTACAAGGGACGATTCCCCAAGACGATTTTAGTGCAACACTGCGTCAAAGCATTCTTACAATATTGTCCCTGACATTGCTTCGAATGGTTGCAACATTGGTAGTCGTTAGTGGAGGTTCGACTGTAGCAAACTGGAGATTACGATTGCGGGATCTTCTGATCACCCTCATTACTAAGTCAATGCCTGTTTATGACACAAGTTTATCCTTCTTCAGAGTTAGTAGTCGCGTTAGAGATGCGGGGGCTGTCAAGCAGCAGGGGCGTAGCTACCTGTACGCACGGTACGCACCTGCGTACCTGTAAAAGTCGAGGGT